ATGTTGGGTGATGATGCTTCCGTCTTGTATCTTGTCACGAACCAGATGACAGTCGAGCTCAATGTGTTTGGTTCTTTCGTGAAATATCGGATTTGTAGCTATATAGATTGCAGCCTGATTATCACAATTTAGGACTGTAGGTTGAGGGTGTGCAATCTGTAGATCCTTAAACAAATACCTAAGCCAAGTCAATTCACAACACAGGTTTGCCATTGCTCGGTATTCGGCTTCAGCGGAAGATCGAGACACCACATGCTGTTTCTTCGATTTCCATGATATTAAGGCTATCCCAATAAAGACACAATAACCCGATACTGACCTCCTAGTGTCAAGGCATGCTCCCCAGTCAGAATCGCAATAGCCTTTTAGCTAAAGCCTTGATTTTGCAGGGTAAAATAACCCTTGTCCAGGTGCCTTTTGATGTACCGCAATACTTTATGTGCAGCATGTAAATGTGGCATCCTGGGACAGCTCATGAACTGACTCAACAACTGAACTGAGTATGCAAGATCAGGCCTGGTGATTGTCAAGTATAATAGCCTTCCTATTAGCCTTCTGTAAACTGAAGGGTCTGCAATTAATTCTCCCTCATCCTTGCTGAGCTTCAGATTCTGATCAAGGGGAATTCTAGTAGGGGCTGATCCAATAGTGCCTGAATCTGCCAAGATATCCAAAGCATACTTCCTTTGACATATGTGAATGCCGTGTTCAGACCTTACGACTTCGATGCCTAAAAAATATTTCAACTTGCCCAAGTCTTTAATTTTGAACTTGTCATTGAGAGAAGCTTTAAGCTTATTGATGGTATCAATACAATTTCCTGCCATTATTATGTCATCCACATAAACTAAAATAGCTGTGAAAGAACCATCAGTAGACTTAGTAAATAAGCTATAATCTCCTCTTGATTGAGTGTATCCTTGCTCAATAATGAAATTGGAAAGTTTAGAGTACCATTGACGCGAGGCTTGCTTCAATCCATACAAACTCTTGCGTAATTTGCAAACTTTATTACCACTTACATTGGGATAACCAGGAGGCAGTTGCATGTAAACGTCTTCATTCAAGTCACCATGTAGAAAAGCGTTATTTACATCAAATTGACACAAATACCACCCCTTAATCGCTGCTATTGCTAGTAAAGTTCTGATGGTGACCAATTTAGCCACAGGGGAGAATGTTTCGTGATAGTCAAGTCCCTCTTGTTGCGTGTACCCTTTTGCCACTAGGCGTGCCTTGAATCTTTCAACACTACCATTGGCATTAAATTTAACCTTATATACCCACTTACAACCTATGGCCTCTTTATCAGGTGGTAGATTGGTCAAGACCCAAGTATCATTAAGTTCTAAAGCCTTGATCTCAGCTTTCATGGCATCACACCACTCAGGTGAAGTTATGGCTTCTTGATAGGTTTTAGGCTCAAAGTGATTTGTTATTGAAACTGCAAAAGTGTAGTGACGTATAGATAATTTATCATAGGAAAGACTATTACTAAGAGGATAGGGACTACTTGTAATATTCACTTCCTTTTCATTGTTGAGCTTCTGGAATGGAAGAGGTGAAGATACTTGTTGACATATGAAATCTTGCAAGTGATGAGGAGTCCTTCGAATTCTGTTAGACCTGCGAGGCAGATGAGTGATAGCAAGGGGATTTGATTCCAGAGTGTCAGCAAGAGACTGTGGTATGTCATGACTGGTGTTCACATGAAAATTAGAGGATTCTATATGAGCTGGACTATTTGAAATGTTATGTTCAGTATTTTTATTATTAGTACTGACAAGTGGGGTGATAGCAGGGTCATTAGAAACGCTAAGGTTTTGTGTGAAACTAAGGTGATCAAAATCAGTCACAGAGGTGTTGCTGTTGATATCAATTTCTTTAAATGGAAAAATGTCCTCATGGAAGGTAACATTCCTTGAAGTGAAAACTTTCATTGTCTTTAAATCGAGTAATATGTATCCCTTAGTACCAAAAGGATAACCAATGAACACACATCTCCTTGACCTAGGATCAAACTTGTGCCTACCATTGATAAGAGTGGTGGCAAAGGCTAGGCACCCAAAAACTTTTAAGTGACTGTAGTTTGGTTTGATTTGAAACAATATCTCAAAAGGGCTTTTGTGGTTTAGGATGGGAGACGGTGTTCTATTTATGAGATATACAGCCGTCAACACGAAGTCATTCCAATATTTCAAAGGCAGACCACTTTGGAATTTCAGGGCTCTTGCTACATTTAAGATATGTTGGTGCTTTCTTTCCACAACGGCATTTTGTTCTGGGGTTTCAACACATGTTCTTTGGTGGATTATCCCTTTCTTTAAGTAAAATTCAATCATGTTAAATTCACCTCCATTATCTGTTCGGATGATTTTAATCTTAACTTCAAATTGAGTTTCTATCATGGCATAAAAATTTTGTAAAGCAGCGATGGCATCAGATTTAAGTCTTAACATATAGATCCATGTGCATCTACTAAAATCATCAACAATAGATAGAAAATACTTAGAACCATCTCTGCTGAATTCATTACAAGGCTCCCATATGTCACAATGTATTAGTTCAAAGCATTTTTTAGTTTTGCGATGGCTTACATTAAAAGGCAGTCTATGTTGTTTTGCTAGGGGGCAAATGGAGCAATGATTTATGCTAGAAGAAGTAGGTATGTGGATGTTCCCATCAGGACTAAATTCAGAATATGAAGAGTGCCCTAATCTGTAATGCCATAGATCAGATTTTTTGTGATTATTGATGGCAGATGCAGAAAAAGAGGATAGACACTTGAACTGTTTGCAGGTATTCGATAAAGCTGAATGAGAGACTTCCTTTCGCACCATATGATACAATCCATCTTTCACCTCACCCATTCCAGTTGTTCTCCAAGTCGAGAGGTCCTGAATATAACAGTGATTAGAGAAGAAGACAAGACAACAGTTTAGAGATTGAGCAGCTTCTTTACTGAAATTAAATTGAAAGTGAAACTAGGAACGCAAAGGACATTTTGTAAGGTAATTGCTTCTGAGATTTTGACAGTTCCTACATGAGTGACAGGGACGTTTTCTCCATTCGGTAGAACCACAGAATAGCACACATTAGCTTGAATATATGTAAAAAGAGAGATGGAGCAAATCATGTGATCTGTAGCTCCTGTGTCAAGAACCCATGGAATTTCAGAAATATCTCCCTGCCTATGATGAAATGCAGTTAAGCATAGAGACATACCAGACATTTTGTGAGTGAAATCTTCAAATGAGGAAGGACTAGCAAGTGTTTGGACGTTGTTTGTTGAAGGGGCGAAGTGATGAGTGCCTGTTGCTGGTTTGAGTAGTGCCATTAGCTGAGAGTATTGCTCCTGACTTAAGGATATTTGGCCCTTGTCCTTTACCACTTCTTGATTGTGTATCATGCCTGTAGAGACCAAGTTGGCAACATGCTTTCCTCTGCCGTTCAACTTGTGGCCTGGTGGGAATCCATGGAGTTTAAAACATTTGTTCACTTCGTGTCCTGACATCTTACAGTAAGAGCAGATTGACCTTCTTGGATTTGCCTTGAAGCATCGTTCAAGGGAATGGCCTGCAACCTTGCAATGAGTGCAATAATATTTGTCCCCCTTCTGTGATGAAAAAGGTTGATTTCCTCCTTCTCTAGAATCCCTTTTGCTCAGAAAAACCATGGAGTCAGAATTAACAGGAACTGGATTAGATATCTCCCGTCTCTTCTCCTCTTGCTGGATTAATGAATATACCTCATTCAGGCTGGGAAATGGCTTAATCAATAAGATCTGGGCCTTAATCTCTTTGTAAGAATTATTTAGCCCCATCAAGAATTTCATAACCCAATCCCTTTGTTGATTTTGAACGACAGCTTTTAGACCTCCACACGTACAATTGGGAATACTTTCATAATTCAGCAATTCATCCAGGAGAGTTTTGAGTTTTGAGAAGTAAACACTCATCGAGTCTTGATTTTGCATTAAGGTTGTGATATCCTTCTTCACTTCAAAGATACGTGGAGCATTTTGCTGGGAGAAGCGTTGTTCAAGATCAAGCCAGAGAAGGTGAGCTGTTTCAGCATAAATGGTGCTACTCTTGATATCAATTGCCATGGCATTCTGCAACCATGTTATGATAATGTCATTGCACCTTAACCAATGTTCCATCAATGGATCATATGGGTCTTTTGGTTCACAAAGACTACCATCTATGAACCCCAGCTTATTTTTGATTCTCAATGCTCTTCTCATTGATCGAGCCCACGAATAATAATTGGTAGAGTCCAACGCATGGGTGACCAGCATGACAGTACTTCCATCGTTGCTGCCTATATAATAAGGGCTGCTGGGATGAGTTGGATCAAGAGAAAGGACACTTGAGTTCCCTCCTCCAGTTTGGTTTTGGATTTGGCTCGGACTGGTGTTTGTATTTGGGGTGGGATTTGTGTTTCCTGAATTGGATTCCTCCATTTCTAGCTTTGATACCATGTAAGATTTTGAAAGATAAAAATTCTGATATTAATGAATTGGAAGAAGAATGAAATTATATTCAATTCGCCGTATTTAATGTACAGTAGAGCCCCTATATATATACACAAAATGAAGGAATCTTTCCTAACAGATTTACACAAAAAAAGCTAATTATCCTTCTGCTGTACAATAACAAAATCTAACTAATCCCCTTCTAGATCATTCTTCTGTTGTTGCTACGTCACTTGCCTTGTCATTAATCCGACCTGGCTTGTTTCTTGCTGATTATGCCAATGCTTCAGCTCAACTTCTTCTTCCTGCTAACACACATCTTCTATTTTCAATAAAATTTGGACGAAAAGTAAAATATGGATATGTTTTTTAAATGATGTATTGGGTGAAATTTCCTTGTGTTAAATGAAGTTTGTCAAAGAAAGCTGTCAGGGACAAGATTACTAATATGGTCAAAAGTTGGGGACTCTTTGTGTAATTTAGTCTTTCCCACAGTTTGCACCTGTTGAGGAAACTTTGCTCCTCCCAAGAAACCCCTAATTCAGCCATCACCACTCATCTACCTCCATCTTCCTCTCTCAGATCCAAACCCTAATTTCTATTAAAATTCAAATCTCCTTTTTAAAAATTGACAAATTTAAATATAATTTCTGAAGCTGAGATGGCGGCAGCCGCGACGATGGTGAGCTCGGCGGGAGGTTTATTGGCGATGCTGAACGAGACTCACCCGGCGCTTAAGTTACACGCACTTTCAAATCTCAACGCCTTTGTTGATTACTTCTGGCCCGAGATTTCCACCTCCGTACCCATAATGTACTTGATTATTCTTCTCTCTCTTTATACGTACGTGTATGTATGTAGGGGCAGTAAGGTTTTGGAGTGCGAATGCTATTTTCTTTTTACTTGGGAACTCGGGCATTTTATGCTTTTGGGTTTTGGTAAAAGATGATAATTTGTATCAAACTTATATGAATCTGAAAAAAAGAAGTCTTTTTTTGGAGTTAAACTTGGTTTTTTAAAATTGATGTGAGAATTAGATGAAGTAAAGTTTTGGGGGTTGCGTGTTTAAACGGATGTGTAAGAATAAGGTTTTATGGTTGGATTTTTATTTGCTGGGATTAATATTGTGTTTAAGAGTAATAATGTGGTATTTTGATTGGTTCTGATGTCGGAATTATTGGATATTGGTGGAAATTTTATGGGTTCTTCTGAAGGATGATATTCGGGAAACTTTAGTGAGGATAGTAGAATTGTGAAGTTTAGTATAGAAAAATGGGATTAAAGATTTAACATCATGTTTGGGAGTTGGAGGGGCTTAACTTTAACTTAAGGGTAATTATATTTACACTACAAGTTTTATTTCTTGCACCACATGTTAATTATACTTAAGGTTCTCAATCTTTACTCATTATAGCATTTACTTCCCTAACGATTCATGGCATTTTTATTCTCAAACTTTCTATTAGTCAACACATTTTGTATTTGAGAACAATTTATGTCCAAAAAATATGTTGAAATAGCATATAACAACTTATTTTTGCCATCATATTTCAATAAATAAATAAAAAGTATGAAATAATTTTTTTCTTCATTTCAAAGTATGGAAATAAAATATTTTGACACAAATCATCATAAACGACAAGATATACTAATAAATGAAAAGTTGAAGATAAAAACTCGATGAAAAATTAAGGAAATAAATGCTACAGCGAGCTAATATTGTTGAGCTTAATTGCAATTAAAATGTGGTGTAACAAACATAAATTGTGATGGCAATATTACCACCCTTAACTTACTAGGGTTTATTAGGCTGAACCTATGGTTTTTATTTGGCTAATATGCTTCGAGAGAGAGCTGAATTATGAAATAGTTTCTCTATTATATATTCATGATCTGGCTTGGAGTTTTGTGTTTTAATTAATGATCTGGTTTTATATTATTTTTATCTTTCGAATGTCATCCAATTTTTATAGTTAATTAATATACATAGATATAACTATACAACACCTGTCAATTCAATGGTAAAATGTCTCAACTGGCATCTAATTAAAGCCTAAGAACAATGAGTTGTTTGGGTAAAGGGAAATGAAATTGTTTCCGTATTGAGATGCCTTTTCGGAAGACTCAAAGCAACTAGATCGCAGAAAGGGGGATGCCCATATGAAAATGTATTAGGATTCGTGCCATGACTTTTGATGAAATTTACAACACTGAGTCTCATGATGTATGCATCATTAGTGCTCAGAAAGCCTAAGCTGTGTCTTGAGGCGCTTTAAGGTGTTAGCCTCAACATAACCAATAAAATAATTGAAAAAATTGAAAGAATAGAAAACTATCATAATAAACGTCAAAATATTTAAAGATCCACAGTACATCATTTCAGTATAATTAAAAGTCTAATTTACAGCTAGAAATATGAAATAGATTTTTAAGGTAGCAAATATTGAAGTAGGAATCACGTAAAAAGATCACTAATCCTTGATTAGAACTAAAAGTCTATAATGAATGATACAATTGACCAACTATTTACAAATTTGTTTACTTTACCTTTAAGAGAAAAAGAAAAATAAAATGATTTAGAAAGCAACAAGAGAAAATATGAAAGAAGAAGACAGCAAAGTTATGTGGCTTAGGCCTCTTATAAGCATGTCTACTGCAGAAAAAATACTAGTGTTTTTTTGCTGAGTAGGATTGGAGAATGGCTTGAGTGATTTCGGGAAAACTTCTTTTTTCTCAATCTTGATGTGTACAAATACTGAAACTATGGCCCTTGTCCAACTTGAAAGCCCTGAGTTGCTATTGATATTGTAAAATTTACTTTACTCAGGTTGAAAAAACGTAAGAAACAACTCCTTGTTTCTGCAATTTCTCAGTATATTCAAGTATGTATAGTTCAGATGTACATATAATGAAAGACCGGTTTTAAACTTTTTACTATTAGTAGTGACCATGGGAGTATCTCTTGAAGCAGAGTTGCTGGTAAGCTTGTTGCTTTATAGGTCTTTTAAGTTCATGCAAGTGGTTGCATTTGTGTCTATGTATCAGGAAACTTGGCCTCTGTTAGATATTAAATTTCCATCCTTCCATTCTGTACAAATAATGCTTGTGTACTTCTCTTACTTCTATTATACAGAGAAAGTTTATATGAAGATGAAGAGTTTGACCAAAGACAACTGGCAGCATTACTTGTTTCAAAGGTAACAATATGCTTCATTCATCTATGACAATATCCACACATCTACTTTTAAAAAGTTTGAAATTTGAAGTGCCCCAGGTTTGTCAATATATTGCATGAATATTCTCAATGTTTGCAGTAATGTAATGGTTGTATTTATTTTCCAACTTAAAATTTGGAAACTGAAATAATGCAAAGATTCTCCATGTAGCACCTGTAGCAGCCATTCATCTTATCCATACTATAGTCTCTAATTCAAAAGATTTATCTTCTTGTTCGAAAGGATGATATAGGTCTTAACTGAACGGATAACCCATATGATGGGTACCTCCTGATTCCTGAATCCCAAGAAGTCAAGTTAATGTATCTCATAAAAGTATGAATATTGTAGTTCATGATAATGCAGTATGAAGGACTAAATGGTTAAATAATGTACATGCTTGTGATTACCCAATGTTATGATCATTTCAGCAAAATTTCAGTATTAGTTAGTACATTTAACTGGGGTGTGAACAAAGCTGCTATTCCAGTATTGGTTGCTGGCCCCCCCGGGGGGGGGGGGGATTCATAGATGTGAGTATTGTATTACACATTTGAAAGTGCTAGATTAAACTGGAAAAATGTGCTATATTTGCAAATCATCTATTAATGGAGCCTAAAATCTGGTGCTTTACCAGGACTATTTCTAAGTTTCGGTTCTCGTTTCTGGAGTACGGCACTTTGTGTTACCACTTTGAGAGGTATTAAAACAAGACAGACGCCTTTTTTGGTATTGTGTTTAACAATTTCTTATTCGACAAAATTCATTTAATTGTACTAGCATGGCTAAATCTTCTTTCAGAAGGGAGTGAGAATGTATGTATATTAGTTAACAAACACTTATTGGTGGGTACTGGGTCCAAGCTCACTGCTATCCATTGAAGCAATGTAGTTGCAAAAAGATAAATTGGGGCTTGTGTTGTCCTCCCATATGTCATCAGGCATGCTTTGCTGGACTGGAAATCACATGAAGACAGTCTATTAAGTTTGAGAACTGAACTAGTCAGCTGAGGTCAAATTAACTCTGCTTCTTCTGATTTGACTGTCCAGTATCTGTTTGTGCTTATGCATAGATGTAACTCCTTTAAATTTTAGCTTGATTAATGAAATATTTAAAGTGCTGCAAATATAAAGTTTACTCTGTCTGGAGAGTGTTTATAAACATGTTTCGTGGGACTTTTCGATGAGCAGATTATGGTGACAAAAGCCTTCTTAAAATGAATGATTGATCCCCCCACAAGTGCTACCTACTTAACCACAGCTCATTTCAATCTGTTTGTAAACGCACCTGTTTGTAAACACTTGCTAAACATATGCATAGTCTTGTTTCCTGTCCTACCTATATCCAACACGAATTTTAATAAAAACCAGGAATTAATTATTTTTGTGTTGAATGCATCTTTTGTTAGTCTTTAACAGATCACCTTGTCTCTGTCATCAGGTTTTTTATTATCTGGGTGAACTTAATGACTCCTTATCCTATGCCCTTGGAGCTGGCCCTCTATTTGATGTTTCAGAGGATTCAGACTATGTTCATACCCTACTTGGTAAGAGTTCATTCATCATCCTGTTTTTTCTTCGAAGAACTGAGTAAACATGTTTGTTTCTAGAACCACACCTTTCCTGAGAATTATGCGAGAGACATAAAAAATTAATATGCTTTCTTGATAGATGACTTAGTACATAGTGAGAGTGCAATCTTACCGGATGCTTTTTTGTCTCCTTTCATGCCTATAGTAATTCATTATGTCTTGCTTCACTCAGCTAAAGCAATAGATGAATATGCCAATTTCAAGACTAAGGCTGCTGAAGGGAATGATGAATCTGTGGTGGTGGATCCTAGACTGGAGGCAATTGTTGAGAGAATGCTTGATAAGTATGGGAACTTGTAGTTTTCTTGATGCCAAAAGTAACTGTACCCTATATGTTTTTCTTCTGACTTGGATGCCTTCCGATTGTTTTTAGATGTATATTAGATGGAAAATATCAACAAGCAATTGGAATGGCCATTGAATGCCGAAGACTGGATAAGCTCGAGGAAGCAATTATAAAGAGTGACAATGTTCATTCAACTATTAATTATTGCATTGATATCTGTCATTCGTTTGTTAATCGAAGAGAATATCGACGAGAGGTAATGTCACATAGCTAATACCATATTCATATTTGTCTAGTCTTATTCGTTTATTAGTTTATTTTTCTAGTTTTATTATAGTTTTCCACAATCTCCTGTCATTTGGGATATAAACTCTTCATTTTGTTCTTGAAATGACACGAAAAGATCTTTGAAAGTGTCAAGGAAGAAGAGAAATTCAAGTGAAGGGAGTTGAAACTAATCCACTCTTCTATTACTGGCTGGGCATTTACGTGTCATTTAAGATGAATATGTAATAGAATAGATAGGTAGTGATGTTCAAGTCCGTGCTGTATGGGCACGTGATTGACTGCAATAAATAATATGCACAAAAATCAAAGCTGTGCATTTTACTCATCTCAGCTAGATCATGGAAATGTACTAGTGTGACATATAGATAAAGTGGAGCGGTTAGACGGGTGGGACCAAAAAATTTAGATTTATGTTTTTGTTAAATTCACAGAATTACTTCATCAGCTGGACCCATGATATTTCTGGCCGCTAGAACTAGCTCTACCGGGAACTTGAGCTACGTGAGAAGAGGAAGTGCTTTACTAAATTAGGTGCCGTTGGCTTTGTTTTTGTACATATATGCACAAGCACCATTCTATGTGCTTATACTCTTATTTTATTGCTCTATAATGGATCTTTTGATTTTTTACTGTTGCTTGTCGAAGAAAAGATTTAAGTAATTGTTCATGCTTAAATAACAATCTCAGTGAATCTATATCATTTCTCGTTGCTTTATTTTGAATCTTCTTTATCTTTTTACCGGATGCTTAAGGAAAATGCTTGAGGAATTTTGGACTGTGTTTGATAGCAGACTAGGTTTCTTGGAAATACATTGCATGCTGATTCTATGCTGTTCATACAGGTGCTTCGTCTTCTTGTTGAAGTATTCTGGCAATTGCCTTCTCCAGATTATTTAAGCATATGCCAACGCCTCATGTTTCTGGATGAACCGGATGGTGTTGCAAATATATTGGAAAAATTACTACGATCAGATAATAAGGACGATGCTTTGCTTGCATTTCAGATAGCCTTTGATCTTGTGGAGAATGAGCACCAAGCTTTCCTTTTGACAGTGAGGGAGAGGTTGTCAAGTCCCAAATTACAATATTCGGAGTCTGTGCAGTCAGGCTCTTCAGAACCAGATTCTGTACGAGATCGAAATGCCACCTCAACAGAAGACGTTCAAATGACGGATGGAACTCAAGTAGATAATAGTGCGCTACATACTGATCCAAATGAAGCAATTTATGCTGAGAGGTTGACAAAAATCAGAGGAATTTTGTCAGGAGAGACGTCTATACAGTTGGCTCTGCAATTTTTATACAGTCATAACAAGTGAGACAATTCTCTCAGTTTTCCCTTTCATTGATGGATTCTCTCAAAGGTCCTTCAGTATGTCCGTAAAAGTTACTGATTAAAAATTGTTGAAGTTTTGTTACTGATTTGCATGCAGGTCAGATCTTCTTACACTGAAGACAATAAAACAGTCTGTTGAGATGAGAAACAGCGTCTGCCATAGTGCAACTATATATGCTAATGCAATTATGCATGCTGGAACAACTGTGGATACGTTCCTCAGGGAGAATCTGGTCAATCCTTTTTCCACTATGTATTGATTTATTTTACTTTATGTATTGTTGATTAACTGACTTTATTGTGTGCATAAATGTAGGACTGGCTGAGCAGGGCAACTAATTGGGCTAAATTCAGTGCGACAGCAGGACTGGGTGTCATACACAGGGGCCATCTGCAGCAAGGAAGATCATTGATGGCACCTTACTTGCCACAGGGTGGGGCAGGTGGCGGTGGCAGTCCATACTCAGAAGGTGGAGCATTGTATGCTTTGGGTTTAATTCATGCAAACCATGGGGAGGGCATCAAACAATTTCTTCGAGATAGCCTAAAAAGTACCAATGTTGAGGTAAATATTTGCCTTCTTTCATTGACTATACCTTCCTATGCATACATTTTGTTTTTTCATTTACCAGCTAGCTTACTATTGGAAATGTTATTTGGTGCAGGTTATTCAGCATGGGGCATGCCTAGGTCTTGGTTTGGCAGCTTTAGGCACTGCCGACAATGATGTCTTTGATGACATAAAAAATGTGCTGTACACGGACAGTGCTGTTGCTGGTGAAGCTGCTGGTATTAGTATGGGTTTACTGATGGTTGGAACTGCAAGTGAGAAGGCTGGTGAAATGCTTGCTTATGCGCATGAGACACAACATGAAAAGATTATCAGGTATAGTTGGTTCATATTGCCCTGGTCTGGGACTATGATTTCTCTCTCATCCCCTTTCCTCTGATTTATTTGCGTGTTCTAGGGGTTTGGCATTGGGAATAGCACTTACAGTCTATGGAAGAGAGGAGGAAGCTGATACACTGATTGAGCAAATGACACGGGATCAAGACCCTATATTGCGTTATGGTGGCATGTATGCATTAGCATTGGCATACAGGGGAACTGCTAACAATAAGGCCATTCGCCAATTGCTACATTTTGCTGTGTCAGATGTGAGCGATGATGTCAGGCGGACTGCTGTCCTGGCTCTTGGGTTTGTCTTGTACTCTGATCCAGATCAGGTTGGTACCTTTATTCATGTTTATTTTGTAGTGTTGCTATAGCTGTTCTTTCTACACTTTTTAAGTCTCAAGCGTCTTCAGAAAAATAACATCTGGGTTGCTTCTAATCTGTGTTCATACTGATAATCATTTTGAATTTTCTAAATGCAGACTCCTCGGATCGTTTCCCTGTTATCTGAGTCTTACAACCCGCATGTTCGGTATGGTGCAGCATTGGCAGTTGGAATTTCATGTGCAGGTACTGGTCTCAGTGAGGCCATATCATTGCTAGAGCCTCTGACATCAGATGTCGTTGATTTTGTTCGTCAAGGTGCTCTAATTGCAATGGCCATGGTGATGGTCCAAATCAGTGAGGCCAGTGATTCGCGTGTTGGTGCATTTAGGTATTGTATCTTTATTTGTATTTTTCACCTTGCTTAGTATGTCATCCTTTATAATCTTCTCATTTTCTTCCCTTAGACGACAATTGGAAAAAATTATTCTTGATAAGCATGAAGACACCATGAGCAAGATGGGTGCTATTTTAGCTTCTGGCATCCTTGATGCCGGTGGAAGGAATGTGACCATAAAGTTACTGTCCAAGACAAAACATGACAAAATTACTGCTGTTGTTGGTCTTGCTGTGTTCAGCCAGTTTTGGTACTGGTACCCGCTTATATATTTTATTAGCTTGGCATTTTCACCCACTGCTTTTATTGGTCTGAACTATGACCTTAAAGTGCCAAGATTTGAGTTCCTATCACATGCAAAGCCATCGCTGTTTGAGTATCCCAAGCCAACTACTGTACCCACCACCACTTCAGCTGTCAAGCTTCCTACAGCTGTTTTATCAACATCAGCAAGAGCCAAGGCCAGGGCTAGTAAGAAAGAGGCAGAAAAGGGAAAACCAAGTGATAAGGATGGGGATTCCATGCAGGTTTGTATTGGATCCTCTAGTTAATATATCGACGAACCCAACTTAATGGCAAAAAAAATTTATGCAGTTGACTCCAAATTTATTTTTAGGCCCCGTTTGGTAGGGATTTTTTGCCCCAAAAAATTGATTTTTTGACCGTTATTTTACTATTCAAGTCGTAATTTTTGACTTCTTCTCTCACATGTGGACCCCACTTTTCTTCTAACGGTAAAAAAATCAATTCTCAAAATCCCTACCAAACGGGCCCTTAATAGAACTTGATTACTGATTTGTAATGTTTGCTGTTGCCAGCTAGAGAATCCTGCAGATAAGAAGGCAGAACCAGAGCCATCGTTTGAATTGTTGACCAACCCTGCCAGGGTGGTTCCTGCTCAAGAAAAATTCATCAAATTTCTTGAAGAAAGCAGATATGTGACAGTGAAGTCAGCGCCCTCAGGATTTGTGCTTTTAAAAGATCTACGTCCCAATGAACCTGAAGTATTGTCTCTCACTGATACACCCTCATCTGCAGCAGCATCGAATGCTGGTGGATCAGTCACTGGGCAACAGGGCTCAGCCTCAGCAATGGCTGTTGATGAGGAGCCCCAGCCGCCACAGCCATTTGAATACACATCGTGATTTATTTATTTTTTATCAAAAAAGTTCGAATCCATTGGAATGTTAATTTCTTGTAAGCATACATGGGGAACCTGTGATGTTTGTGGGGTGGGGGGCGGGGGACCAGAGCATTTATTGGATCACTATCCTGTGATTATCTAGAGTTTCTCTCCTACGTCAGGTGAGATAGCGAATTTATCACTTTTACTTTCGCTGTCGACTTCTTGCTTGTATCCTCCGGGTATTTTCACATGTTCACAAGGTGGGGGAAAGAATGGAATCGTTAAGAAACTTCTGTTGCACATTTCGTTTGCTATAATTTTATCATCCTAAATTGTGAAAATATAATGTGAACTCTTGCAATTGTATTGTTCAGAGCTGTTCCAAGTTTCCAGGCGACTGGGATTTATTTTTTCTTTTCGATTTTTGCTCTCCATAGGTTTGGTAACAATTTCTGTTCACGGAAACTGAACCAGGACTGTTGTAAGACATATTTTTGTTTTTCGCTTGCTTAAAAACTTCTGGCCTGTGCATTGTGCTTAGATTTGTCGAGATTTCAGATGAATGTGTCTTACTTAATCTTTGGAGCATGCTTGTGTTTTGTTTATTTCACTGGAACGGAAATCTTGAGTCCGGTTGTCCCATTTTGGAAGATGATGGAGCGATCCCCAGCCTCCACTTACTCGTCTTTGTCCATTCGCTGAACCGGATTGGGTGAGTCTATATTACCTCCAATGGGAGACTTCATTCACCAAGATTATCATCAAGAGAGGGATTAAACCCTTTTACGACATACTAGAATCAGTTGTCACCTATCCCCATTTTGTTCTGACAGGGAAAGCTAGTGGGCCAAGTGTATGTTTGGGACTGTTTAAATTCAAATCCAATCCAACAGTCAATTTTTATAGAATGTACGGATAATAAGTCGGTGGTAGTTATAAATTAAACGAAATATGTACATAAAAAGTATTATTGAACAACTTAAATTATAGTTTAAGCTTTGTGAAAAGAATCAAGCTTCATTTACATTTTGTTTTGTATTAAGTTTTACATCCTTCCACATGACACCATCGTTACCTTTGAGTTTCTAAACACCTTTTCACATCATTGTCCAGAATCCTAAATTGTATCACATAAGGGCAATGTCATGGAAAATGTACACAAAAATGAACATCTAATAAAATTCTTGTCAAAAATGCACCAACTATCCCTTCTTGAGTTCTGTTATATTAACACCTAGGATGACACTCCACTTGAGGAAATAGTGGTAGATAGGCAAAAAAAAAACATACAATTTTTCAAAATGGCCATTGACCACTGTTTAAAAAAAAAAAATCAAAAATTTGTAAAAACTTTAAAAATATTGAAAACTCAAAATTGCCCCTGATATTTTCACTCTGAAGTCGACGTCTGGAGAAAGAAAGGGAAGGAAAACAAGGAAATCAACGAGTTATTCTTGGGAGGAGACCGACCAGCCACCATTAGAAGTAAAGAAAGTAAGTTTTGCATAATTTTTCCCCCATTAATCTATGTTAAAGGTTTATTTTGTTGGAAATAGTGGTAGAAATCTTTGTAGGATATATAAAAATAGTAAAAACTAAATTTTTTTAAGGTTTAGGTGTCGGAGATCGCCGAAAATGGCGATCTCCGGCACAGGGGGCTGTCAAAGACGGTCGCCCCATGAGGAAGACGGCTGTGCAACCGTCTGTGCCGCTTGTTAATAGACGGCACACGCCATCTGTACCGTCTGTTTTTAGTGTTTTTTTATCGTTAAATAATTATTTAATTATTATTTAAATGATAAAAGAAAAATATAAATAATGAATAAATGTTAATAATCAAAATATGCAAGTAAAATTTAATTACAGATTAATTGAAAGAAATTTAACCTTTTAAATAAATAATTAAATATTTACGTTTACTTGTTCAATAAATAATTTAAATAATCAAATAATTAAATTAAATAATTTAAATGAACAATTGAAATGAAAACCCATTGGAATAAATAATTAATTTCTCACAAAAATAAATAATGGACACATATGTAAATAATAATTAAATGATTATTTAAATGATAAATAAATAAATGTTATTAATCAAAATACACAATTAAAATTTAATTGATAGAAATTTCTAACATTTGAATTAAATAATTACGTTTGCTTGTTCAATAAATAATTTAAATAATCTTTCCATATAAGTAATTAAATCAAATAATTTAAATGAACAATTGAAACAAATAATGAAAAATAATTGGAATAAATAATTAATTGAAATGCACAAAAATAAATAATGAACATTTAAATAATAATTACATGATTAGTTAAATGATAAATGAATAAATGTTAATATTAAAAATATTAATTAAAGTTTAATTGAAATAAATTTCTAACATTTGAAATGAATAATTAAATATTTGCCTTTGCTTGTTTAATAAATAATTTAAATAATCGATTCATATAAGTAATTAAATCAAATAATTTAAATGAACAATTGAAACAAATAATGAAAAATAATTGGAATAAATAATTAATTGAAATGCACAAAAATAAATAATGAACATTTAAATAATAATTAAATGATTATTTAAATGATAAGTGAATAAATGTTAATAATCAAAATATTAATTAATGTTTAATTGAAATAAATTTCTAACATTTGAAATAAATAATGAAATATTTGCGTTTGCTCTTGTTCAATAAATAATGTAAATAATCAATCGATATAAGTAATTAAATCAAATAATTTAAATGAACAATTGAAACAATTAAATGAAAAATAATTGGATAAAAATGATCAAAGTAAGTAATTAAAATGTAGATAAACAATTGAAATAAATATCTAACATTTAAAATAAATAATTAAAATTTGGTTAATAATTAAAATAAATATTGAATAAACAACTAAAGAAAAATATAACAAATAATTACATATTTACGTTTAAATGTTCAATAAATAATTTAAAGAAAATAATTAAATATACAATTATAATAAATAATTAAATTAAGCATTCAATAAACAATTAAAACAAATGTGAAATAAACAAATAAACAATCGAAATAAATAATTTAGATAAACAATTGAAATAAATAATGAACATTTAAATAAAAATAAATAAATTAAATAAGTAAGAAATATAAATTTTCAAAATAATTTATTTAAATATGTAATTAAATAAAGAATTGAAATAAATTTCTAACATAGGTAAAAATAAACTATGAAATAAATAATTTTATAAAAATTAGTTTTTCCCTTTTTTATAAGTTGTTGTGTAATTTTTAATTCATTTTTTTTATTATCTGTTATTTCGTGTATATATTACTTACAGTTCGGGTAGTTAAATTTTATGACATTATGTTTCAAATGTTCTAACATTTGAAATTTTGCAGGATGGATTATCATTTGGACGCAGCCTTGAGACAGGTTCCTGACAAAGTTACGTCGAACTGTAACAGCAGTGTTGGATTCACTGGACGAGGAGCACACAGAGATATTATGTCAATCCTGCCTATGGTCCCTGTATTCACTATGATCTGTATAGTTCTCTGGACAGTTGATCGATTCATTACTGTGTCAGCTGCTTAAGCCAGTTGACAAAAATGCCCTCCACTTTGATCTTGGGGACAAGGTTGCTACATTTTCTATATTCGAGTTTGCCCTCATCACTGGATTGAGATGTACGGGCGAAGAGGCAGCGAGGGCCAGTATTTCAACAGAAAAGAGGCTGCTGAATGATTATTTTAATGGGCACACGATTGTGACACTGGCGCAGTTAGGAGATGCATTCAGGGGATACGACCAGATGTCCGACAAGTTGAAGCTGGGGATGGTGTTTATACTAGAGAGCGTACTGAGGTGTCATCACAGGAAGACGTCGATTGACGTTTTTCATTTACAAGTTGTTGATGACATCGATACATTCAACAACTATCCGGGGGGGGGGAGAGATGTTTTTTCGATACTTTACACATTTTCAGGAGGGGGCATTCGATGCCTAGAGGAGATGGGTCGGAGCGTAAGTACGATATATATGGCCTGTCGTTAGTTTTGCAGATAAATGTTTAACATAATGTGTTCTCCATTTTTTTTATTAAATTGTACGTATAATAATTGTAATTGTTGCAGATATGGGTCTACGAGACTGTTCCCATACTGGCTGGTCGTTATGCGAGGAGAGGGGATACATGCATCCCTCGAATGCACTGCTAGCGAGCACAAGATAAGCCCCTTGCAAAACAGCTATCAGTTATTCTAGACGATCCTGAGGTACGTATTATATATTTGCGCTTTCTGTTGTATGTCATTTTCGAAGTTGGATACGTGGTTAGTAATTCGATGAAATGTCAATATGTCAGGGTGTCGGGGGAGGAGAAGGGGGTATCCGAGGCAAAGAGGGTACCATATCAGATACCAGACTCACTAGACGTAGTTTTTGTGCCGGAGGGGCCGAAAGAGGTGGTCTCGATGGTAAGTGAGGGAGTGTCGGATATTGGGAGGGTTTCGCGTACTGTTGATGTGGCGGAGCTGGTGGTCGGCAAGAGGCCGAGGGCACCATCACAGTACGTCGTTTCTCCGTTTATCGCGGAGGTGAAAAAGACGAGGTTTGTCGACGGCACGCATCCGAATTTATTCAAGGAGGTGGACCAAAAAAAGTGGAAAGCGTTCGAGACGGAATGGAAAACACTTATGCCCGGGTAAGTATTGTATTATTCGTAAAGGATTAGTACATTACGCAGATGCTGACACATCTATATTTTTACTTAACAATTTCTTTTATTATTTTTCAGAGTCAGTCGCAGGATTGCTCATAAGATGATCTCGGACGCTTATAAGTGGTTTCACGACATCACAACTTCGAGGGCTTGGCTCACCGATGATGTAAGTGAAGAAGTAATATTGGTATTTATTACGTATACATATTTTTGCGTTTTGCATTTACGAAATTAAATAACACCTTTTTTAATTTGTGCAACACATTGATTTCGCCATAGATTTGCTACGAGATCGAGCTGAACAACATCCAAGATCGTTCCACGTTCCTGGCCGACTCATATTGAACACTGAGTTCATACATGCTGTCAATATTGAGTACCAGACGTTGCAAGCTATGGGTAGCGAGTACACGGTGCCTACGTACATGATGGAGTGGGTCGTAGAGATGTGGCCGAGTGTCAGGGGAAAGCCATGGGAGGGTTGTACGCATCTGTACATTCCGATGTGTGTCAATCATCACTACATTACAGTGGAGATTGTATTTGCCGACTCAACTATGTATGTGTATGACATCGATCATTCATGCCTGACACAAGGTCAGCTCGAGCAAAATCTGGAGTCGGTGTCTGTGATCGTCCCTATGTTGGCTAGACGAGCGAATATTAGTGTGCAGGACATACTAGCCACTGTACGAGACACGACGACGGCGAGACAGCAAATATCGTAAGTGTTTATTATTTTATTTTTGTAATTTACAACTTACGTTCTAGTTAGACAGTGATGTGCTAATACGATATTTTGTAATTGTAGGGGTGATTGCGACATATTCGCTATCAAGTATATAGAATTTTTGAGTGTAGCACAGAATGTTGATGCAATCAACCAGGCGTGAATAAAAAATTGGAGAAATAAATTAGCTTGTGATTTATTTGAATTTAATGGTGGTCCATAGTTATTGAGTCGTGTTTCTTTAAAATAATTGTACATATCGTAACGTGTAAACGTTGTATATTTCATTCATTCATTCATCTGTAATTACGAAATAATTGTAAAACATATATTATTTTTTTAATATTTAAATTTTGTTTTTTAGTTTATGTGTTTATTTAAACGTTTCACGACGTATTTATAATGTTTGAGTATATTGTGGAGAACGCACTGAGTTTTAAAAAAGAATTAACGCCAAATATTACGCAACTAATTAATGAAATATTAAAATAAAAAAACTAAAGCTAATAATTAACATAAATAATTAACATTAAGAATATGCGTGAATAATTAATATCAATGTTATAAATACTGTTACATAAATTTCAATTTTACATCTGTTACGTTGTCATGCAGACGGATCTGACTTGTACAAAATCTTCTAATATGTCATGTTGCACCACACCTGCCGCACTTACGAGGCTGGGAAAATTTTTCGGTCGATGGTATTCTAGACGTACGTGTACGTCTAGGAGTACGTAAGCCGATTGCTGGTGGCAACAAGTTATTCAATGAGAGAACTTCCCACTCAACTTCATTTGGTACAAGAAATATGGTTTCGGCATATGCTGCTCTCCATGAACTAGTCGTGTAATAAGCACTGCATAAGGTGTGTAGTGGAATTCCTCTATACATAGCCACCGCCACTGCATGTGTACACGGAAAACTCTCCGACTAAAACTGTCGACACGTGCACGTGTTATCATTCAAGTCGACGATGTATCCGAAATTACGTACACATTTCACGGAAAAGTGAAACTGATCTAGTGGTTCTATATATACCTTCCTTGCCACCTCTAGAGTTTTGAAGAATTTATCTTCCTGAGTCGGGGTAAGCACACTTGTGCAACTCTGTGATTCCTCACGACGATCATGAAACCACTGTTGCAACTTGTCACGAATGTTCTTAAGCATTGCGAGAATTGGTAACTCTCGATCCTTCTTAAATAAGGCATTGAGCGACTCCGCATTGTTCGACATCATCATGTTGTATCGACGTCCTGAAAAATGTGATCGTGCCCAATGTTCGATCCCCATCTCCGTCAGATACTCCCATACATCATAGGATTTACTTTCGATTTCAACCATAAACTTTTCAAACTCTTGAAAACTGTAAGCCTCTGCAGCTTTCCTAAACAACGTAACGATGCCCTTGCCTCGATACTTGATTTTCAAATTTCCTTATATATGGTACATACAATAACCATGATGTGCCTCGGGGAAGACTTCACTCTTGATTTATTGTTTGAGCTTCCTTGACTTGGGTAATTGAAAAATTAAAAGGCTTTGTCAAAAAGACCTAAATTGTTTAAGAAGAGCTTGGGATTTAAACGGTCCATCTGTGACCCCCCTCCTCATCTGGAAGTCTTTTAATGGAGCATTACTCAAATTGACAAGGCGAAAAATAGCATTTCAAAGCATTCTAGATATTTAAAAAAAATGTGGTGGTTAGTCACTGTCATGCATCCATTCATATATTTATCCTTTAATATATATATATATATATATATAATTCTACAAGTTATGATGTATTAAAATTTCCCAACTGCCTCTTGTATGTTTCATTACCCACACATATAAATCAAAGTGCAAGTTTTAGCAAAATTTTATTTATTTATTTATTTTTATTTTTTTTGTATTCATATATTTGTAAACCTGTTAACAAGAAATGAAAAGTTCGATAAGCATTCTTTTAAACAAGAATCTTAACGAGGTTCTTGGCACCTAGCATCCACCAATGTTACCATCTGACGGACCAAAGGTATCACTTAATATGTTTTATTTAAATTTAATTCTGAGCATGAGGTATACATTCTTATACCCGATACGAGAAATGTTCGAAATGAGATAAATGTTATAGTATAAAATGCAAACATGATGTTAAACATATTTGCTTCCATTTTATGAATTATTTTTCTCGTATACTTTTAATGAACTACTGATAGAAGTATGATATTTTATCTACATAATGAGTTATGCGAGCATAAAAGGCAGTGTGTTACCATTAATAATATATAAGCCTAATTGAAATATACTTGTCGAATGATTAGGATGACTAGGAATAGCCCAACATACCTCCAGCGTGCTGAAATGGCCATTCAGAACTATATAAATTATGAAGTAAGATGGGACGAACTTTTAGTGAACATGTTGAAGATTTCCTTTCTAAGTGGGAGCGAGCAAGGTCGTTTGGACATAATGAGGGGACAATCCTTTCAATATATCACCTTATAAGCACTATGCAACCTCAATGGAGAGACGTGCCTTACTTCGTGAGGGACATGGATTATGATCTATATTTGGAAGAAGATTGGGATAAGATTGATTAAAAAAGGATACTGTGAAGATATTATAATTTTATGGAATCACAGACAACAAGCACCAGCACCCGAGCCCGAGCCCGAACCCGAATTTGAGCCAGAGCTAGAGCCAGAGGAGGAGCCCGAAGAAGACCCAGAGGAGGAAATCGAATTGGAGCTAGAAGACCTGAGCAAGAAGTCCAGCCACAAAATTTCATTGATTGGGTTATGGATTTTGAGCCCGAGTCATGCATTACTTCGGATGACGAGACTCCACAAAAAGACGATTTTTAGGACTCACTGGGATTAGAAATAAGTATTATTTATTTGCTTAGGAAAAGTTTGATTATTTATTTATTTTTTTGATTTTTTTTGAAGAGCAAATTTTCTATATGTAAGGATTTGGAAATTTATTATTACAAAGATTATTAATAATATTAGAGTGTTTTATCAAATTTTCCTAAATTAAAATTCTATTTGTGTTAAGAAAATGTCGAGATAACAACAAAATCAAGCTACGATTATCAGGGATTTGCTAAGGGCAGTACAAGATTTGGGTAGACAACAAGCACAGGCTGGCCCTGGTAGTGCAAACACTAACAACACTAGCTCAATTGTGGAACAGTTTCGTCGTTACAAGCCCCCTACCTTTAATGGGATAGCTGGCCCTCTGGCAGCCGAGGAATGGATAAGGGGTTTGGAATGAATCTTCAAGCATCTCTCTTGCACCGATGCCCAAAAGGTTTTATGTGCAGAGTTTATGCTAGTTGATGCAGCTGGCCACTAGTGGGAGTCCGTTTCACGGACTAGGACTGAGGCACAACAACGTAACCTCACCTGGGCAGATTCAAAGAGGAGGTGATGGAAAAATACTTTCCACAAACCCTGAGAGACCGTAAGAAGACAGAGTTTTTGCAACTTAAGCAGGGAAAGATGACATTGGTTGATTATGAGAGGAAGTTCGAACAACTTTCTAGGTATGCAACGCATTTAGTGGATACTGAGCAAAATAAAGCTAGAATGTTCGAGCTCGGACTACGCCCCAGAAATTGGAGGAATCATGGCATCTCATGAATTTACCACGTACTGTCAAGTTCTACAACAAGCTCAAGCTATTGCAAATCGACTAGAACTCGATCAAACAACTCAAGAAAGTACCGAATTTTCAGGAAAGAGGAAATGGAATGGGACGAATGAAGGTAAAGGAAATGGACAAAATAAGAGGGCTAGTTTTGAAAGGCGGTTAGAGTCAAACAAGCCGAATAATGTTCTTACTCCTTGTCCTAAGTGCAATAAGGCTCATAGAGGCGAGTGTTTGTATGGAAAGAATGTATGCTATCAATGTGGAAAGCAAGGTCATATTGCTACCAATTGTGAGGAACCCCTACCAAAGAGGGACAACGATCAAAGCAAAAAGGGACCAGCTAGAGTCTTTGCTTTAACCCAACAAGAGGCAACTGAGAATTAGGACATGATGGCAGGTAATCTATCTATATCCGAATTACTTGCCTATGTTCTTATATGCTTAGGAGTTGTTCATTCCTTGTTTATCCTGTTTTCTTTGCCAAATCTCGAACTAGTTGCGAAGAAGGCAGTAGTGTTCTAGAAGTTACTATTCTAGTGGCAGTACACTTAATACAAGCAAATAGATAGAGGTCAAGATAGAAATGAATTTATAGCTAACATATACCTTTTAGAAATGAAGTATTTTTATGCCATCCTAATGGTGGATTGGATGGGGAACTTTTATGCGACAATATGACGCTTTGGGAAGAACATAAAATTTTAGAAGTGTGGAGAAGATGAGATCAAGGTCATGTACCTCGGACTTCTCACCTGGATAAGAAAAATTTCGAGTACGAAATTTCTTGAAAGTTTATGGCTCTAGAAATTTTAGGTCTAGTCAAGTTTTTATGCAAGTAAATTAGCGATGCCTAAAAGTTAATTTGGATCTATATGAATATCTTTATAGTTGAGGAAATAAAGTGGAAACAAATATAAATTTATACTTTTATTTAATTGTGTCAAAATGGTTAACTATTGATGAAATTGATTTTCCTATCAATATTAGGCTCTTTTTGAAGTTTGAATTAAATGATGAATTATAAGCCAGTAATAATAACTACTTAGTTAATAAAATTAGTTATCAATTTAGACTCATTTGATAGATCATAATTAATTTTATGTATATTAGAATTTAGATAAAGTTAATTTGGACTAAATTACGTTGGAGCGATCAAGATTTGGGGATTAATTCACGTAGCAATTAGGCTTGTTATTATCCATATCATGATTCCCTTATTATTTAGTTAAAGTAGGATTTGGAGTTAGCCATAATTAGGCAAGAGCTTATGTGATAAGTCCTAGTGAAATCAAATTCCATGGAAGCTTTCTGCTCTTGGTGGTTTGGTTAAAAGATGATAATGGTTACTTTTGTGGAAATTAAATAAGAGTTCTATTAATTATTTACATTGGTTGTTTGCATTAAAATAAATTAAGCCTTATATCCAATGCAATTAGGAGTCCAACTTATCTTAATGTGTGCATAATGATAAGTTAATCAGGAATAAATCAATTCAAAGACATGTATTTAATATGTATTTTTTTTAATGTATCTTTTAAGATAATTAGCAAAAAGGTTATAATATTTTATTAAATAATAATCATGATTATCTTTATAATTTGAAAAAGATTGAATAATACCCAATTTTGTTTCCAATGAAAATCCATAAGATCAAAGTTACCCTTCTACAATGAGTACACGTTGTTAGAAAAATGATTGTATCTTTTCAGATAATTAGGAAGAAAATATAATAATTTATTTATGTAATCATGATTATCTTAACTTGGAAAAAGGATTTAACCATATCCAACTTCTTCCATCCAATTGAAATCCACGGTAGAAAAATTCAGTTTTCTTCCATTGGTTTACACGTGAATTGTATAATTTTGCAAAGTAGGTTTGTATTATACACAATACAGTTTATCTTTGTTTTAATCTTATAATTTGTATTTATAAAGCGATATGGAACACTTTTTAATTCTCACCAATGAAATAGGTAAACTCCGTTTATTTTTCTACAAATTAAAACTGAGATTGTACACATCATAACTATATAAATCTAATCACATAGTGATTACTCTTGATTTATAATTATCCTTCATTTGGATCGATTTCAACCTTATAGAGGATAATAGCTAATACAATTCTAACCCTTATCAACTACTTTATGTTGCCTATAAATACTAATGACATACACATATTTTGCCAAGAACACCATTCTTTTAACTTTGGTTCTGTTCTTTAAATTCAATAGCTTCCTTGCTTTTTAATGTCCATCTATTCCACACACATACACGGTTTATCAATTTCAGGGGCACCAAGACTCTTTTTTTTCCACTATAAATATTCTGCAAAAGTCAAATTGTTGGCACATATTTTAAAAGTAGAAAGCCATTCTCCATTTTAACTACGTTCAAGGAAGCCGCAGAAGTCCAGAAATTGAAATATTCTATTGGATTATTCTTTCAAAAATTCGTTGATTTAACGAGGTAGGATACTATGTGCAAGTTGTTTTCGTCCTTTCGATATTATAATTTTTGAAGTGATTTATTTCTTGAAATGCTAATTGACCTACTGGTCCCTATGAAATGAAATGAAATGTGAAATCTCCTTCGGGTCTTTTCAAATATGTTATACTCGATTGATCACCGATTGCTCTTGATGAAATGATGGTATGGAATGTTGTAAATTCATGTTTTAAAAGTTATTATATTGTTTGGATGCACGTATCCTACTGAGTAATACTCATTCCTTCAATTTTAACATTTCAGGTCAGATTGGTCAACGTGGATGGTGGCTGAGTGGTGCGCAAGTTGCCAAGTAAAAGAAATTTTTTTAGGAATCCATAATAAATTTGTTAAGACATTTTATGTTTCTCTTTAATTCCATTCATGACACTATGTTTATTTGATTCAGTGTTTGAGTTTCAATAAATTAAGGTTTTAAGTTTTAAGTTTTAAATTTTATTTCCGCTTGATGTATGATTATGGAATGATATCGGTAACTCCTCAAATTTAAGTCGATAAAATCTAGGGCGTTACTTGTCCAATTGGAACCAAGATTCAATTTAAGTCTCTCTTATATAGAGGTCAAGAGTTCGAATTTTGGGGGACGCAACAGAAAACCGTGAGGGGTAAGTGGCGCAAGGCCCACCCAAAGTGGATAGTACGTAAGCTTTGTCCAATTGGTACCAGGATTTAACTTAAGTCTATCTTATGTAGAGGTTAAGAGTTTGAATCTTGGGAGACGCGACAGAAAGCCGTGAGGGGTAAGTGGGCGCAAGGCCCACCCAAAGCGGACGGTACCTAAGCTAACGGCTTGGGCGAGAGATCCGAGTCGTTACAAAAAAACGCGCATCATAGGATTTACTTTCGATTTCAACCATAAAATTTTCAAACTCTTGAAAACTGTAAGCCTCTGCAGCTCTCCTAAACAACGTAACGATGCCCTTGCCTCGATACTTGGTCTTCAGATTTCCTTGTGTATGGTACATACAATAACCATGATGTTCCTCGAGAAAGACTTCGACGATACCGTTAATTATTGACTGCCCTCGGTCGGTTATGAATGCAAAGTTCTCAACATCCTCAATTACTTCCCTCAATTTCGTGAAAAACCAACGCATTGCCAAATCATTTTCTCCGTCAATTATGCCGAATGCAAGAGGGTAAATTTGGATGTTAGCATCTTGACATGTTGCAATAATCAACTTACCCCCATATCTCGCCTTGAGGGTCGTACCGTCTACTATAATTAAGGGTCGTATTACGTTTCGAAATCCTCGAACGCATTGTCCAATGGCCATAAAGAAATACTTGAAGTGATTCTCGTCATCCTTCTCAATAAAAAATGCCGATTCAGTATTAGTTCTTCCTATGTCATAGCAAAACCTAACCAATTAAATAAACAATAATCATAATTTAAATAATTAAATAAACAATATTAAAAAATTGAAAAATTAAAAATTTAATTAAATAATTAATTACACATTAGATAAAGATTCGATAAATAATTAAATAAATAATTTAAATTAATACTTGGCCAATTTAGTATAACACTCCTCGGTCGAACCCATCAAGTCCTCCAACGCGCATTTTTTGGCCTTCCAAGTCTTCTGATAGCTCATGACCACCTCGTACTCTCAACGAACGTCATTAATAATGTTCGAAATTGTTTGTGGGTCCTGAAATTTGTGCGTTACTTCTCGACCAATGAACCATAATCGGGCCTGCCTATGATTATTTGGACGAATACCCACTTCACAAGTATATTTCTGTGCATACTTACGAATCACAAAGAACTCATTCGTGTCCATTTTCGTTGCTCGCAAACGCCAAAGGTAACTGTCGTCAACGCAGACAATTGTGTAAGTCGACTTGTTTGATTTTTTCACTTAAAACTCAAAATTGTGTTTCAAAGCAATCCGGTGAACAGTTTCTTGCAAATGTTTCTTCGTGTCAAACAGTTGCTTGACATACAAATCTTTATCATCGGGAACTATGTGCGAACAATTAGAGGACCGTGCACTCGGTCCAACCTGTGAGCTCCCACTCAACGCATGTCTCAAACGGGATAAAGCAATCAAATTCTCATTTGTAAAATCATTATCTCTTTCGTTGTCTTGAACTACTAAGCAAATTCTGTGTGTAACAGTGACATCATGGTGATGAGCAACTGTCTCTGAAACAGCTACAACATCATCATGCACTATTTCCACTGCGTCCCAAAACTCATTCACATTACGATCTCCTCTATCGAAATCTTCCTATTCACTCTAGGGGACATTCTTCTTCATCAAAATTATGCAAATAGGAATCGCACGTTTCTAGTTCATTTCAATTAAAACCTTCATTTCAACTTCAAAAGTAACCATTATAGGTGGAATTGAAATGAATGTATTCTCGCCCATTAGAAATCCTAATTCCATGGAGTACTCAGAGGGATCAACTTTCAACAAGTTCTGTATCTCACTGTACATTTCTGCATATGATGTACTGGATGTTATTACAATTGCAGTACAACCATATCTTTCACTCGTCCATTTCCACACCCATTGTCATTATTTTCAAATTTACCAAAGTAACAAATCGGGACAGCAGCTGATCTCATATCTGCATTACGAAACATCATTTATTAAAAAAATTGTAATTACGAGAATAAAAGAACGAAATTAAATATGACAAAAAAAAGATGTGTAACAGTCGGCCAGGATTTTTTTTCCGATTGTTTGCATCTACACAGATGAATTTTTTCCTCGTTTTTACTAAAAAAATAATTTTACATCCATTCAAGACAGTAATATTTCATTTTTCTAAAATTATATGTTGAAATAAAATTTAAATATTCAAACAATGTACTAATTTAACTAAAATGAAATTAAACATACGTATATATACTTACCAAAT